CACACACACACACACACACACACACACACACACACACACACACACACACCCTCAGAGCTAGGAACTGAATTGACAAAGCAATTGATTCCGGTTGGCTGTTGAAACGCCAGTGTGGACCTTTTAGTTTGGTTTGAAGAGTACCAGGTGATTTATCTATGGTGTGATGGTCAGGGCGCTGGGATGGTACAATGATGACTTCTTTCTCCTCCTCAGATACCTCAGCCCTGCTCTGCTTATCCTCACAGGGCTCACAGGTTCCAATTATGTGATTCTCTCCTTGGCTTGTCGAGGACTCCATTCCCACAGAACCTGGCTCCAGAATCACCATAGGATTGACCTGTGTCTCCTCCGCATTCTGGTAGGCCAGCTATGAGCCTGCAGAACTATTTTCACCTGGGTTGGGGAGTGGGGGGGGGGGCCGTGTGTGTGATACAAGTAGCAGAGATAGTCTGCACAGGGGATATTCTGTCCAGGGTTATATTTGTGTCTGGAGAGTGGGTAGTCTGACCTTTGGCTTTACCCCATGGGCACCATAGCAATAGGACCCTAGAGGGGAGGGCCATGGGGTCCAGGGCTGGCTACACTGCACCGCAACACTACAAGGAGGATGGGGGGGGGGGGACTTTAGGTGAGGGGACAGTAGAGTGGAAGTACTCTTCGCCCTATTGAGTTGGGGGAGGAGTACTAGGTACTCTAGGTAGAGTTGTGGAAAACCAGGAAGACCTGATTTCAAATTATGCCTCAGCTCCTTCCTGGCTGTGTGGCCCTGGGTAAGTCTTTTAATTTTTCAACCTCAACTTCCTCGTCTGTGAAATGGGGATTTCAGTAGCACCTACATCTCAGGGTTGTTAGGAAGATCAATTGAGATTCTATATGCAAGTCAGGAATTGCCCATGTTGCCTTTCTTCAGCTTGACTCTACACCATTAGGAGTCAAGAGGACTTAGAGAAATATGTTTTGTATTATTTCATATGAATCATTTATGTTATATTGCTTATCTTCTCAGTGGGGAGGGGAGAAGGTGAGAGGGAGGGAGAGAATTTGGAACTCAACATTTAAAAAGAGAAGAAGGTTAAAAATAAATTTAAAAAAGGAATTAACTGAACTTTAATGATAAGCTAGAGAAAGTATTGATTCTCTTTCTCTCATACAACCCACTGAGTATTCCTCATGCCCACTCAAAACAAAACAAATGCTAGGGCATCCCATCCAAAGTCAGCTCCACCAGTCATGGCACAGAAACATGAGACCAGCCAGCCCTAGGGGCAAACCCAGTCTCACTTTGCTTGAGATGTTATGACGCCAAACTGCAAGTTTATGGTGTCAGCGACTAATAAGAGATGCTACTGATATTCCAGAAGACTTTTTCCAAAGGCAAGGGTTGACTGGAGACCAGGAGAAGGGAGAGGGATCAAAGACTGGTGGTGGAAGGTGAAGGCAAGGTTTAAGGCCACAAGAAGGTCATCTGAAGGACAAAGAATGGGAATTAGAGGTATTGGAAAGGACTGAATATTGCAAATATTGTAGTTATAACAAAGCGCTGATGAAAGAGATGGGCAACTGCCTGAAAGCACAGCCAGTCTTAATAGGGGCTTAATAAATATCCATTGAATTAGATTGAATTGAACATATCAAACTGTGTCCTTTAAACTATCAATTAATCAATAAACCTTTATAAAGTGTCTATGCGCTAGGAGCTGGGGAAACTGAGATAGAAATGAAATAGTTCTTGCCCTCAAGGTGCTTACATTTATTAAAATGGCAGCAGGTGCAATTCAATTAGAGGCATTTATTATCCAAGCAACTTCTCACACTGTCCTTTGCCAGCCCTGAACAATTCCCAGCACACAAAACCAATGCTCCAGGGCCCCCAAAGTTCCTCCACCCTTTTCCAAATTATCATCTGATGCAACATGAGCCGTTTCAATGATTCCATTGTCCTCTTTGGGAAAGAAGTTGGAAACCTCCTCCCTCATATAATCCATCCTTTTCACATATCCATGATCTGATACATCCTAAGGGAGGCAGCCTGGGGTAAAGGAAAGAACCGCAGACGTGGAGATGGAACATTGGCTTGCAGTAACTTACTAACAACACGATTGGGCAAGTCACTTTTCTTCTCTGACCCCTAATTTCCTCCACTGTAAAATGATGATATATTCTACAGAAGGGCTCTTTGGGAAGGGAGAGGAGGCAGCTTACAGGGGGAAAATTACGCTATGTAAAAACAAAAGATATCAATAAAATTAATTTTTAAATAAACTTTTAAAAACTTGTGCTACCTATTTCATGAGCTACTTTCTTTAATTAGTCATTGTGTGGTATCAGGACCTAGCCAATGGAGGGCCAAGATAGGAATCAGGAAGACTTGAGGTCAGAATCTGACTTCTAATAGTTGTGTGACCACAGACAAGTCACCTAACCAACCTTAGGGTGCTCCAGGCTTCTCTCTAAGATTATAAGTTACAGAGATCTGCATTAGTGAGGCAGTATCCACACCAGGTGTTCCCCACACCAATGAAATCACAGATTCAGACCAAAATGGTAATCATTAGTAATCATAGTAGGAGAGGCAGCTGCAGTTTAGAAGTTAATAGAGAAGCATGGCGATTTGGGTTCTTTATTATTATTATTAATTTTTAGTTTTCAACATTCACTTCCATAAGATTTTGAGTTCTCCCCTTCCCTTCCCTTCCCCTTCCCCAAGATGGCATGCAATCTCATGAGACTTGGGTTCTTGACACATGTTGGTTGTATGATGCTGGTGGAATCACTTTAAATTTTCATAGTCCCGTGGGCAACCCTCTGACTCTAAGTTGCGGGTTGCAATCTGCATTGGTGGAAGAAATTTCCTCACTTGGAGTTCCCTATATCAGTGAAATCGCAGGTCTGGTAAGCAACATCAGTCACCCATAATAATAACTTTTGTTATCAATCTCTCAGGCTGGAAGGTTTGTGTGTGGGTATGAGTTTTTAAAAAATCACGCTCTCATTCTAGGTGCAGAATGGGATTGCGATTTATGCTACATGGACCACAGTGGCAACACTATTGAATTTTGCAGTTGTGTTGGTATACAGTGTGGGAGTGGCCAACCAAACTTCCACTACTGTTGTCCTGTCTATTCTCCTCATGCTGCTGGTGCTCTGGTGAGTAATTCATCCCTCGTTGACTAGGAAGGATCTGGATTTCCATTCAACTCTAGGTGATTCGAGTCAATTCATCTCATCTCAACTCAACTCAACTCAAACATTGTTACGTGCCTACTTTTTATAGATACTGAACACTGAACTAAGATACAGTCCCTGATTTCCTGGAACTAACATTCTAGTCAGACAGATAACATAAACACAATTAACTTGTTAGAATATGAACTAATATATTGTAATACTAATATTGCCTCTTATTTGTATAGCATTTTAAGGTTTACAAAATATTTTCATCACAACTCTATGAGATAGGGAATATAAGGATTAGTGTCCCCATTTTACAGATGAGAAAACAGAGGCTCCCAGAGGGAAAGTCATATAGCTACAGAGCTAGCAAGCATCAGAGCCAAGATTTGAGCACAGGGCTCCTGATTCCTTAGCAGATTTTAAGCTTATTGTAAGGAAAATTTCCCTAATTGATCAGAATTGTCCGTGTTTCAAAGGGGCTGCCTCAGGAGGTAGTGACTTCCCCCTCTTTGGACCCAGCAAAAGACTGGTTGACCACTTGTCACATAAATGTCATATATTGTAGAGAAGATTTTTTTTCCAGGTATGGATTGGAATATACATGTTCACTGAGCTCCCTTCCAACTCTAAAATTCTACGGTGCCTGGGATTTGATGACACTAAGTCCCCAAATTCTTACTATTATACCAGGTTTGTTGAGCCAATGTGTAAGAGAGGGGCAAAATGAATACTATGTGAAGTCTAAGGTGGATAAGATTGTTATTACTGAGGAAGGAATCAGAGAAAGCTTCCTGGAGGAGGCATTTGAATTGAATTTTTAAAAATGGATATGAATTCAATAGGCATTTCACTAGATTTACAGTATTTTCTATACCAATCACAACAACACAATTTCATTAGTTAATCATCAACATAGTTCATTCAGATTGTCCTAAGAAGGCAGCTTTTTGTAGTCAGGGAGTATGGGGCCTATGTCTACCAAGTACAGGCCCAAATCAATAGAACTCTTATAATTAAAAAGAATCAGGTACTGTAATTTCTATTTGGTTTATGCTAAGTTGAGGCAATTTAATCTGATGGGAAAAAACCAAAACCCAAAACCCCTTGAGCTAGGAGGTAAGAGATCTGAGTTCTGATTCTGGCTTTATCACTAAGTCACTATGACCTTGGAAGAGCTGTGAATCACTTTATACATCTACAGCTGTAAAATGAAGATAACGGCATCTGCCCTGCCTAACTCACAGGGTTGGGATGAGGATGTAAGAATGGCTTTGAATGTGCTTTTTAAATGTTAAAGGTGTGACACCAAGCAAAGTGTCATCAGTCATGACTTTTTGTTATTCTCAGTCAGTTTTCTCTTGTGGACTAGGGTCGATGCTGTTTTAATGAATCCCGTAAGATAAAGACTTTCAGGTGATATGACTGAAATCTGGAGAATGCTGAAAGATCTGGATAGAATTAACACTGACTTGGTCACCAAATTCCAACATTTCTAGAACCAGACTAGAAGGAAGAGGGGTGGGGAACAGACAAATATTTATCAGGTACCTACTATGTTCTAGGCCCTGTGCTAAGCACTTTGTAAATATTATCTCATTTGAGGAGGACGTTCCTTAAATTCTATAGCACTGAGATTATTTGTCCTATAGGTTTCTTTACCTAAATCCTGAATAGCCAGTTAATTTTAGGGAAATTAAAAAAAAAGTATGTCATAAGTGCTACCCTTTTTCCTCTCTATCAGGTTTTACATGAAGTTTTGTTTTTTTTTTTTTTTTGCTAGACAATGGGGTTAAGTGACTTGCCCAGGGTCACACAGCTAGTGAGCATCAAGTGTCTGAGGCCAGATTTGAACTCAGGTCCTTCTCTGTCTAGAGTAGTTCTTAACCTTTTTCTGTGTCATAGACCCCTTGGGCTGTCTGGTGAAGCCTATGGCTTCCTTCTCAGAATAACTTTTTTAAATGCATAAAACAAAATACATACATAGAAAGGAAACCAATTATATTGAAATACAGTTATCTGTATGTTTCTTAAAATTTCACCATCCCCAGGTTAAGAACCCCTGCTCTACAAGGTCTGATCCCCAAACTCTTACACATAAGGTCACCCCTAAGATACCCCCCAAGGAAGTAATCATTGCTGAGTAACTGTGGAGAAGAGACAGCAAAGGCACTGGTTTTCCCAACTCCCCATCCAGAAGCCAGGTCTTCTCTGTTGCGCAGTAGACTGTCCTCTGACCAGGGAAAAAACAAAAAGCTACCCCCCCCAAAAAAAAGCCCTTCAAATTCTTTTCCTTGGCAACGCTGATATTTTTGGCATTCACATCCCTCCATAACCTAGCCTCCTCCTACCTTTCCAGTCTTCTTTCACCTCACTCCTGAAACATACTCTTTGATCCAGTGACACTGGACTCCGGGCTGTTTCATGAGCAAGACACTACATCTCTTGACTCTGGGCATTTTCTTTGGCTATCTCTCATTCCTGAAGCACTTTCTTTAACTCCAACTATGGACCTCCCTGGCTTCCTGTAAGTCCTAACTAAAATCCCATCTTCTACAGGGTGCCTTCCCCAACCCCTCTTAATTCCAGTGCCTTCCTTCTGTTAATTATTTCATATTTATCCTGTATATAACTTGCTTTGTATATACTTATTTGCTTCTTGCCTCCTCCATTAGATTGTAAGTTCCTTGAGGGCAGGGACTATTGGTGCGTCTTTCTGTATCCCTAACTTTTAGCTTAGTGTCTGGCATGTAGTAGGTATTTAATAAATGTTTATTGATTGATGGATTGATTCTCTTTATGAGATGCTCTGTAGAAGTCCCAGAGAGTCAATTTGGAGAATTATAAAGGTATTTATTTCATAAGTGCTGTCACTGCTTCTCTCCTTTAGGTTCTACCTGGAAAACTTCCTCCTGGATAAGTATGTACGTTACATCCTCACTGTATACCCGGTGGTCATGGTCGCATTGTCCGGCAATATTGCTCAGCACTATAATACATCTGCTCCAACAAGAAACAACATCTTTGCAGGTAAATGAGTCTTTTTAGCCATTCCAAACATCTGATGCACCTCTATCACATTCCTATGAGCCACTGGAACGAGAAGAAGGCAGATAATTATTTTCCTTGACTTTCAATGCAAAGGTATATAAAGTGAGGGGTAGTAGAAAGGGCATTGACTTTGGAGTCAGAAGACATGACCACTTAGTACTGCTTTGAACTAAAGTGAGACCTTTGGTTCATTTCAGCTCCCTGGTCCTCAAATTCTGAAAACAAATCAAAACAAACAAAAACCAAAACCAACAAAAACCAACGTGGATGGATAGATAAGCTGATACCTAAATTTCATACCCGCTCTATCCAGCTCTATGCCAGGTCTATGTAAGCCTGTGTGGAATTATTTCTGACCTACACTTCCAATCCTCTCTCATGCACGCCTATGAAACCTGAAAGCACACATGGCCTTTGTTACTGCCATTTTTCTGTCTGTAAGGGATCATCACTTTCCTTTTTATAATGCAGACAACGGGGCATCTCCTTTCTACCCTGTCCTTATTCTTATTTCTCTCTTCTAGTTGTCCTGATGGCTGTGACAAGTGTGATGTTTTTGGTTCGGCTTGGTCTAGTTACTTGCAGGCATCGCTATCAGCCGCTTACTATGAGTGAGTCATTGTTTCCAGGGCCGGCAAGGCTAGGAGAGAACCTCAGAGATGCTGAAGATGACCTTAGGAAAAGAAGCTACAGATCTCAGGAGATGGAGCCAGAACACCTTGCTATGAAGTCATTCTGATTACGGGCAAGACCATTGAGAATCAAGGCTTTGCCTAATACCAAACAGTTATGGAATACGAATGATTGAAACACATTTATTCAGCATTTACTAAGTGCTAACAATTATGCTAATTGTTAGGGATACAAATACAAAAGTGAGACCACATCTTTGTCTTCAAAGGGCTTTTTAGGGGAAAACAAAGCATATAGTGGCCCAGGAATAATGTTTTGGCCTGGGAAGCAGCAGGAATGGCATATGGAGCCCTAGAGGAATAAAAATAACTACTCTTTTTTTTAAAAAAAAATCAATTTTCTTTTAAAATAAATAAACATTTATTTTCTTTTTTCCCATTTCCCCCAATTGGGAAAAAAAAGAAAAATAAAACTTTTGTGCCAAATATGCAGAGTTAAGCAAAATTAATTCCCAAATTATCCACATCCAAAAATGTAGAGTTCATTCTGCATCTTGAATCTATCAGTCTCCATCAGGAGGTGGATAGCATGGCTCCTTATCAAACCTTTGGAATCATAGTTGGTTACTGCATTGATCAGAGTTCATAATTCTTTCAAAGTTATTTGACTTTATGACATTGCTGCTGTATAAATTGTTTTCCTAGTTCTACTTACTTTGCTCTGTGTCATTTCATCTATGTCTTCCCAGATTTTTCTGAAATTAACGCCTTTGTCATTTTTATAGCACAATAGTATGTTTGCTGCATTCTTATATCATAATTTGTTAAGCTATTTCCCAATTTATAAGCATCTCTTTATTTTCTAGTTCTTTGCTAGCCCCAAAAGAACTGCTACAAATATATATAGATATAGATTTAAGCTCTTTTTCTCTTTCTTTGATCTTTTTGGGGTGTAAGCCCAGTAGAGGTTGGTGTTGTTGTTTTCATCCTTTGTTCTTGAAGAGGATCAATGACATCACAAGGGTAATATCTTGACTTGAAAGTGAATTGGATTTAAGTGATGCAGAGCTGTGTAAAGTCATCAGCCTTACTCTGTCCTCCAGAGTCATTGAAGTTCGGTAGAGGTATTACTTAGTCAAAGGGTATGTTCCGTTTAGTGACTTGCTAAGTATAGTTCCAAATTGTTTTCCTGAATGACCCTAGCAATTCATAGCTCCACTAATAGTGAATTAGTGTACCAGTTTTCTGCAGCATCTCCAACATTTTTCATTTTCCATTTTTGTCAATTTTGCCAATTGGATGGGTGTCAAAGAAAAACTTTGGAGTTGTTTTAATTTATATTTCTCTAATTATTAGTGATTTGGAGCATTTTTTCATATGGCTGTTGGTAGCTCGGATTTCTTATTTTGAGAACTGCCTATTCATATCTTTTGACCATTTGCTGATTGGGGAATGGCTCTTGCAAATTTCAGTCAATTCTTTAATATATCTTGGAAATGAACCCTTTATCAGAGAAACTTGTTGCAAAGATTTTTTCCTTGGTTAACTATTTCTTTTCTAATTTTAGCTGCATTCATTTTGTTTATGCAAAAACATTAAAATTTTTATGCAATCAAAATTGCATGTTTTGTTTTCTGTTATCCTCTGTATCCCTTATTTGGTTATAAAGATAAATCCGAAGAGAGATTTCTTCTTTGTTCCTCTAATTTGTTTATATTGTGATTTTTTTTATATATTTAAGTCATGTATTCATTTAGAGCTAATCTTAATAGACATTATAAAGTGTTAGTCCAAGCTTAATTTCTGCCAGACTGATTCTCAGTTTTTCCCAAGCAGTTTTTGTTTAAGAGTGAGTCTTTACTCCAGTAGTTATGGTCCTTAGATTTATCAGACATTAGACTACTATATCCATTTGCTTCTGTATGTTATGTACCTTATCTGTCATTGATCAATATCTTATTTTTAATCACTATGAAATCATTTAAAAATGAATGGCTATTGATATATATTTTTAAATTTCCTATTTTCTACTTCTTTCTCCTTTCCTCCTCCCAGAGACCATATGACAAAGAATTTGCCAAATTGTTTTGATGATTACTGCTTTGTAGTATAGTTTGAAATCTGGTACTGTTTGTCTCCTTTCCCTTCTACTTTTTTTCATTCCCTTGAGATTCTTTACTTTTTTTGACACGCCCTTTTCATAATCAATGGTCATTATAGTTCCCAAGAGATGGAAAACAGGGAGTGGGAGGATAGTATTGTAAGATATGTCTGAGATGAAACCAGAATGGAGAACCCGATCCGGAGCTCAACCCACTGAAGAGGAGCTAACTATTCAATTGGTTCTAGTCTCCTCCAATCCCAAGAGAGTGTGGTGTACATTCTTATCTCGTGTGATCACGAGGGCTGCCTTGTACTGGTCACAGCAGCTCATGAAGATTATCTGAGGCGTAACAGGGTTTGTGGTCTGCATTGGTAGAGGGAGTGGCCACACTGATAAAGTCACAGATCTTTGTAAGTACTGAAATAACGTATTCCCTAAAAGCAATTTCAGTTCTGGAAGGAATTTGCCTCCTTGATGCTACAGTTCCTCGGGTATCATAGAAAGCACGAGTGACACTCCCCTTAAACTTTTGAGCTTACCAACCAAGTCATACACTCAGCATCTGTAAGAGGGAAAATTGTGATTCCAAAATTCTTTGCTCATCCACCTTTCTTGTTTTACATATAATCAAGGAACTGATCAACACACCACTCAAACGACTCAACTCATCTCCAGCCTTTTGTTCTCTGCCAGTATCATTTTTCAACTTCTTCGGATTATATTGTATAGTTCTATTCTGTTCCTAAGACAGCCATCATGATGGGGTAGGGGACAGTGGGCCAGGTCTCGGCGTCCTTTCTGCCCATAAATTCTACAAATATTCCTGCCATGTTGTAAAAAGGTAGAAATTATATCATTATGGCATGGCTACTCCATTAAAGTGTTAGTGTCTCTTTGCTTGGGAAACATCACTGATGAAGTAGAACTGTAACTCTAATAAAGAATCACAAAATTCAGGGTTAAAAGGAATTTCACAACCATCTGTTGCACCAAATTCCTGGAAAAGAATCTTTACTCAAATATGATTGACAAGTTGTCATTTAACCTCCATACGAAGACCTCTAAGGAGAGGGGAACCCACCAATTCATTAGGCAGCTCATTCCACTTCTGGATAGCTCTAATAATTAGTAAATTTTTTTCTAAATAGCACAGAATTGTTTATTAATAGCCTGAGAAAAGCCAATTTGGGCCTAAAGAGCCAAGCTCTGGGTAAGAAAGGATTTTTTTTTGGTTTGTTTTGTTTGTTATTTTTAAAGTGAAAGATACAGACATCTTCAGGTGCCAATATACATATCCATTGTCTTCAAAGTCATGGCACTAAGGAGACAATGGGAAATAACTAGTGGGACTGGAAGACCTTCAGAAGCCATCTACATTTCATTGCCTTTGATGGTCCCATGTCTCCAGAGGTGGGGGAGGACGGGAGAGGTAACCAGGGTACATGCATCAGAGATATTACTCCATCTCCCAGCAGACTACATTCCTTGTGGAACTGGTATGTACATTTAAAAATGCCATGGGAGTGCCCATATTTGGATCTCCAAAACCATGCAAATCTCCTGACCCACCTCCAGTATCCTGACTACACCTCTGGTATTGTCTGTTCCCTCCTTCAGATCAGACTGGATTCCCTATCTTTGGTTCCTTTGAACCTCAATATACCACAAACACACACCCTGTTTTTTGGGATAGGACCTCTGGAATGCCAGCTCTTTGTAGAGGGAGCCTTGTTCTGGTCTGTTGATTTTTCTCTTTTACACTCGTAAAAAACGCTAGGGGCGGCTGTGGTTCTTCATAAATAAAAAACACTACCACTTTGTTGCTATGGAGATAGGCTCCTCCACCCCGATACCCTGAGAAGCTGGTTTGTATGGCCTGGTGCTTTTTAGAAAGATCCTAATCTCACGTCTAGGCAAAGTCAGTCAAACAGCATCTTAATGCTTCCCAACAAACTGGAGAAAGACAACTTCTGAGGTAGGGAAGATGAAGCGGGAACTATCTTATACTTTTTCCCCAGTGAACCACTTTGGATGGCTGATTCAGGACTTCCAGGTTTCCCTTGCCTTCAGTACTATTTAAGTACTGCTGATAACTCACAGGAGCTGAGGGTCTTGAGTCATTAGAAGAATCCAGTTTTCTAGGGCAGGAGTAGGGGTACCCTGGGAACCCAACTCCTACCAGCTGTGGGTTTAATAAACCAAACATTTCTGGTCCTTGTACCATACCTTTGTGCTTGCCTGGGGCACAGGTGTCTCCCTGGGGTGAAAGGGACAGTAGAACTAAGTGGGGTACCTGCCCCACAGATGCCTACAAATGACAAGGACTATCCTGGCCTCTAGTCAAGGTGTTTAGCCCAGGATAAACCCCAGACCAAGGGGTCACAATGTCAATTCCCAGGCCAATCTCACCTGGAACACTGCCTAGTGAAACCACTTCTGGGTCAGAAAGAGTCAATGAACTTTTCTTAGTCGAGCATTCAAAGGTTCTCAGACCAAAGGAATTGAAAATTACTTTTCCTAGGTTAGCCATAGAAGCAAAGTGGGATCAAGGTCTTTCAGACCTAAGAAAGCCCCTATTCTAGGAAGGGATTGAGGGTTACTCTAGGCCTAAGTCTAGAAATAGACATCCTGGCTAGGATGAAATGCCCAAATCTTGTTTCATGACAAGTGGTGGGTTATTTCAGAAACCTATCTCCTCAAAATTCATGCAGACACAGTATTAAATCTAGTTAGTCACTCACAGCAATCTAATTTTTGACTTTCCTTTCATAGACATTCATGTTCAAATGATTGTTCTAGATTTGTAGTTTGACCTGGGGAGCAGACTGGGAAATATGGCAGGTGATGATAACGTTCTCTTTGCCTTCTCCACAGCATTATGGGGCTCAGGGGATCTCAAGGAAGCAGCCCAGAGTGTTGGGCAAGGTTAGAAGCCCAAAGCACGGATGAGGAAGACTGGTGGCAATGCATATTCATGGGCAGCTCATCTTTCCTTATTCCTTCTGCATGGGAAAGGGTCCATTTTAATTAAACCATTGAAGCAAGAAGAGACATGGGATTGTCAGAATCTGGAGACAGAATTGAATTACTTTTCCTAAGGAGTTCCTTCACTGGATTCACATTTACATGACCTTCTCTAGCCTAATGATTAATCTTTTGGAGGAGGTGGTGTGATAAGAGAGGTCAGAAAGCATTTTATGACTCTAGTTCTGGTCTCAGACAGTTGAAAGTCATACCTCCCAGCTGAGCAAACTTATAGACCTGGGCCTTGGCATAACCAAATGAGTGTGAATCCTGCTGCCTCAATTATAGAATTGCTTACCCAGGTCCCTTCTTATCTGGTATACTCCAAATGCCCACTAACCATTGTTTCTACCCACCAGTGCCTGTATCTTCCCTGGCCTCTTTGTACCCAGGCAACAAATCAGAGAGAGAGAGAGAGAGGATACAGGAGAAAGGTAACTTCTACATGTTTAAGCTAAACGGTATCTGGAAAGCTGATTTTCTCATATTCAGCCATCAGTTGACTCATCCCTTTGGAATGTGGCAGAATGCTGGGTCCAACCCATTCAGCTAAACTTGACTAATTATAGAAGGGGCCATTGTTCTAGGAGAAGAATTACTCATACGATGCACCTAAAGTGGCATATCTGGGCAGGTCCACATGGCAACAAAATAGTCAATAACCAATGACTACAACACATTAACTGGCTCCTCCTTTCATTCTCTCTTTCTTGCCCCTCCCTTAAATCTGCTTCGATACTAAGAATCTATGTAATTTCAGGTCATTTGAAAAGCAAACTAACTCTCCAGCTGTCATCCTTTCAAATTCTTTAGGTGGAAGTGGCATCTAGCAATTTTACATGCTCGATGATAGGAAACTTACTTTGGTTCAGGTGGTTGGTTGTAGCACCAAATAGGTGACATCAAAGCCCCAAAGAAACAGATCCAAGT